TTTTTTTTTTGAGCTGTTTCACCCTTTTGCATCCCACGTGTGTGTGTATAGTGGGTGCTCATAAAGCATGCTGGTCAGAGACCTAAAATAGCTAAATGCTGGTTTTTGTCAGGGCGTTCAGCTATTGATAGATGGCAGCGTCATAGGCAGCTAACACTCGCATGAACTTCCTTTGAGCGCTTCCCTGAACGACTAACTTAGGGAAGATATATTTTTTAGGCGTCTTGCCAAAAAGAATGAATCAGCCCGTTATAATTGTGTCGGCTGATTGGCATTAATATCCTCCTCATTAAGAGTTTCATTGACATTAAGGAAAACAGCCACTTCAAAACTGCAGCTATTATTTTGAAACATGGTGGGTACTTAACAGAGCGACATAAGAGCAGTGGCCTCAAACCTGAGAACCTGACTGCAGTATATCAACAGGGCTACTAAAGGACACACCTTCTTACACTGCACATCAGGGAGGGAGTAGTAGCATTAATTCTGAATTTTTTTTTCTTGGTTTAAATTGAGCTCTTAATTTCATTGCATATTTTATATTAAGAATATGGCTTTTCAATAATGGAGCAGATTGTTAAAAGTTCTAGTGGTGACTTCAGAAAGTGTGCATATGTCTGGATCTGACGGAGAGTGCTAGGCTAATGGAAAATAGAGTAGATGCACTTATGCTAGTTTGAAAATACATGGCTAAGGCTTCATCTGTGCCGCTCCAGACATGCTGAGTTAAAAGGATATCGTTATGCGTCATGCAGATGAAGAGGCTTTCACGTTACATCATTGACGGTGGTGGCTGAGTTTCAGACACTTTTTAGCACGAGTTATCTTGTACATGTTGACAGGCAGCGATTAAGAAACAGGTTTTGAAGTATCTGAGTATGGACAGGCAAAGATTACGGTAAGGACTGTGCAATGTATCTAGAGACAAGCTTTCAAAGTCACTCTAAATACTTTTATATGTAAACACTTTGGGATCAGATCTAGGTTGAGGCTACAAATATATTGTTAAATAAGAATAGGTCTTTTGCCTGACTGTCCTAACACTTATGTTTGGACTTCCCTCTTCTTTATTTAAGGAACTGGAGACAGAAAATAAAGATTTGAAAGACAGAT